GTTTCAAAGATGCAAAAGAGACAGACAGGTGAGTTCTATGGAAGTAATCGAGTATGACACACAGTGGGGTCATGGCAGTTTGAAGTCAACTGCCAGTTAATAGACTTTTTGCCGTATGAGTATACGTTGCCCAGGGCGCACCACGTGGAGAGGTAAGTCTATCGCACACCCCCCTTTCTTCAATATAATCATGGTAAAGTGAAAAAGAGAGGTGACAAACAGGACTCTCCAATCTCCACTCTACAGGCTTCAGATTTCTACGCTCACTCAACTTGATCAAAGGAAATAGGGGTCATATTAGACACTCGTGAATTGAAAGAAGCCTTCCAACGATGTATATGTTGGCAGAGTAGAACTCTTATTTCATCAAGGGAAGTCAGACAGAACTACCTTACATTTGGCAAATATTAAATGAAGCTTTAACAGGAGTCGACTTCCTCGCTGGTGAACACTCAGCTATTGCAGATTCGGTGCTTGCTGGTGGACACACTTAGTAGGCGGAATGGCAAATAAAAGGCGATGACGCAATTGGAATCTATCAACAGATCTCGCTAGAGATCACGAGACCGAAGCCCATCGGTGCCCAGCCAGTGGCATGGGCGGTCAAAGTTACCAGTTAATCCTAGTCAATATAAGGAATGACGGGAAGCGCGATTATCCCACGAATGGCAACACAACACTTCTAACCAAACTAAGCGTTGGAGATATTATAGCGAAAGAGCAGAAATGAGCGGAGGTGCAACCTACCGATGGATCATACTGAGTTGTTTGCGCAAATACTCCAGACCACAGAGAACGGCGTAGAGGATGCGTGAGACGATTGGTTCGGGCATCCGACCAGCATGCTTCAGCACTATGTCCAGACTGCCCCCGTCCATGTACTCCATGCAGATGTTAATATTCCCGTCGCCTAAGAAAGCCCCATAGAAGCCGATGATGTATGGCGAGGTGCAGTCGTGTAGGATCTGCAGAGCAAACAAAATACGCTTAAGTGGTGTGAGAGGACTTTGAATAAAAATTAGCAGTATGAAGTGAGGCCACACACACACACACACACCCCCACTAGAGGCCAACAGAGATTGGGGTAAGTAAATTTTCCAATTACAGATATCAAAACTTGAAAGATCTCAGCCCAGGTAGATTCGCAAAATGTAAAATTTTAGCTCAAAATTTAAGTCGATTCTGACTTTGCACTCCAATGAAATGAAGAAGAAAGTGGCGAAACCGCGCAGCCTTTCGACTGGTGCATTTCCAGATGTAAACTGAATTGACTTCACTTCACTTAGCAGACAAATTAGAGGTTGACCGTGAACAAAAAGAGAGAAAGCAATCGCTGTTCATGAAAATCAGCGAACTCGTTTTGAAATTCTCAGATCATCTGAAGACGCTAAGAACGAGGTGACGAGAACTGTACCTAAAGCTCTGAAGCATTCTAGAACTCCCAACTTAATAAATAGATAAGCTAGTCGGCGGCAGCACATGATGAGCAATCTTTAGCAATCACATCACCTACGTATCATTGCACAATGTATCAAATATGGATACCTCCAATTCTGTGAGCACAGAGTTAATTAAAGTAGCACCGAGTGTTTGCATGAAAAAGGTGACGAAAGTGGGTGAGGTGTGGACACTCGATGTCAGGGACTTTGAAAGTGAAAGGGAGACACGAGGGGGAGATGGTGATGTAAAAAGTACGCAGAAAGAGGATGACTGCTAAACCACTCCTACGACAACCGACCCTTCCATAAAAGGGAATCCCCGTTTAGACAACACTGTCCAACAATCTCTCAGTCTCATCCAATCGCGATGGCATTGCCGAACGAACTCAACTGAGTAGTACAGTCACTGTGACATTCTGGTCAACCGTAGCTAAATGATATAATTGTGGGAACGACATTTAACAACTCTAGCATAGTATGGAAGCGGCAGCTCTAACTCTCAAACCACATAAAACCCAAGATATACCCTTTTTCAATTGGTTTTGACCATCACAAACACAGACAAATACTAGTGTTCCTTACATCGATTGATCCATATAGCCCCATCTATTAATAAACACCACATATCGCTGTCAACATCAATATATACACAAAAACTTATCACAATCACCCCCCGCCCCTAATCAGGTGTCATAGTAGGATAGGTGCAGTGTGCCAGCAGAGTAGTTGTAGAGGAATAGGAGATACAAGAGGTATTAAAAGAGCCTTTAAAAACATTCAAAAAGATCAAAAAGGAACATAGAATGACTGACACTTGAGTTGAATCATCAATTGCACTCTAGTACTGAACCAATTTTTTGTAAAAGAAACCATAAGAGGGGAGGACTTGCTTCGAGTTCGCGGACAATTTGAGTGCCAACCTCGTGCCGAATGTCTAGTCGGATGGTCTTTTTAGCCATAATGAGGTTGGTTCGATTGTAGCGCACTCGACTGACAACGCCCCAGTTGCCGGAGCCCAACTCGGAGATCTTGGTGAAGTCTTCAGGATGTAGCTCATGAATATCTTGCTTGCAGCGCAGAAACACTTCTATTCTCTCCCTCTGACTATCGTCTAATTGTTGGTCGTCCAATTGACGCTGTCTGCAAAGACAAACATAGAGGAGGAGGAGGAGGTTTAGGCGAAACGAGACAGCCTCCCTCGAATACCCTGAATTCTTAAGAGCAGAAGTAAGCAGAAGACCTCAAAGTCAAGAAGGTCATCTCTCAATGAGAAAATGCACCTCAGAATCCACTGAATCCGATTCCTGTTCCAATCCTTCAATCAATTATACCCCCCACCCCACTGCCTCCATTCCTCTCCACTTTTTGCATGGTTAGCAATCTAAGAACAATTAGTATGCTAGGTATTCCTGACTCCCACAGCCACCAAAACAATAAAGTAACTGCCATTACCAGAAGAACTTCGTCACTAGGAAATAATAAACATCTTGAAATGCCAGATGTTCTCACTTTAATAACAGCTCTGTGTATCGCTAGGTTCATCTGATCAACGTGGTTAACCCTTCAACAAACCATAAACTGCCATAAAACTCTACCTGTGTCCATTCAGAACATGAAAAATGCATAATATGAAATATATAACATTGAAGCTGAGAAATTATTGAAACTCTAAATTTGACCTTATTCACCCGTTGAAACTCTAAGTACTCCTAAGTGATAAGTGGGAAAAAGCACACTTGAGAAGAGTTTTCCAAATATAGTTATAAAGACATGGTACTCACGCAGCAGCGAGATCGATAGGCCCAGTGCTCATTCGGTCACTGCCTGCACCACCTCCGCCGCCGGTTCGTGAGGAGCGAAGAGAAACTGACGAGGACGAGTCCCCCGCTGCGGCGCCAATCGATGTGAGGGGAGGCAGTCGAACCCTCCTCCCACCCCCTCCTGTCGTCGTGACTGAGATGGTGGTGCTGCTTTGTTGCTGACTCGGCGGCGGCGGTGGTGGTGGGGGATCATCAGTAAGGCGAAGAGGTGAGAGATCGAGGTTTGGAATCACCACTTGGCTCCTGCCCCCCGCAAAGTGCGGTCTGGCTACGCCATCTCCAGGGGATGCCACTGCAGTTGACTTTTCTGAGGCGACGCCACTCTCCTCCCTTTTTTCGTCAATGGTATTGGTTGTTGCTGTGGCATCACCTTCACCACCCCCACCAGCCTCCCCCATAACTACTGTGGCTTCTGGAGGTTCTAGTGTCGTGCTTTCAGTTGTGACTGGCGGCTCTGCCATCTCACTGCTTCAATCTATTCACAAGACTAAAATGTGCCATATAAAAAGGATGCAAACCAATATGGTAAGACAAATCATTCAATTCAGTCTTGATACAAAATGAAGAAACAGATAAAACGGCCATCTACTTTACTATAATTTCTGCTAAAATGCCCCCATCGTTCAACAACGAAAAAATGGCCACATTATCACTTGAATGATGAAAAACAAGATGGTATAAAGAACAATAAAAGTAAAAATCGTCCTTAGGAGAAAGTGCGAATTCATCAGCGAATGAGGATACAATTTTAATTAGTAAAATGATTGAGGCAAACCAAAAAGAGAATTTTGTCAAACGAATAAAAACATAATATAGGCATCTATAAAGCTCATTAAGCTGAAATCCAACCACCCCCCCCCCCTTTCGGAATTTTCAAAGACCTAACCAAAATTACTTTCCTATGAAAATTATTCAGAATTTGGAGTCCAGTTAATTCAAATGAAGAAATAAGCCACTAAACGTGTTTGTTCGCACCAATGGAGACAACGAATTCAATTCCCACGGGGACATTCCAAACGAAAGCAAGGGCCAACGTCAATTGTTAAGCGGGGTATTACAGTGATAGAAATCGAGGTTCGCAATTAGGAAGGCTGAATGATGATTTTCTATATCCCATGGAAGCATTGCGAAGGCTCTCACGAGTTTGGGGACTACCATTATGAATATGAATATAAGAAGGAAAATCGAATCGCTATGGAATTAGAACTGCTTCCAGAAAACGAGAAATGTGTCCTCAAAATGACAAAAATAGATGCATAAACATCGAGAAACAAAAAAAGCAAGCCAGCCAAATATAAAGAGGAGAAAAGGGGAGAAACTAAACGGTACACGAAGAGAACAAACATAAATAAATGCAATATACTTTTCTAGCACCCAAGTAAGGGGGGAACCAAACCAGAGTTTCAGAAGGATTGCACAGATGAAGTAAAACATCACAAATTAATAACGAGAGACAAGATCTGCAAGAATTCAAGTGGGTTTTGGTGTCAATGGTGGTAGAGAGCGACAAAATCGATACACCAGGCACCGAATACACAAAAACGACGTTGCATGTGCACACACTGAATAGCGCACTATACAGCGAGAGGGGTTGCACTCATTCAGGTGTGAAACAAATGATGACACAGACACATAAAGTATGAGAAGCTCTAGCGACAAAATAGCCTGCAAATATGGAGAACATTAACCTAGAAAATTAGGTGCCTTTAGATAGCAAATAAAAACCAAATTATATCAAAATGAATTAATAAGTAGAAACACTATAATAGACACCTTCATAAGCATCTCGAAAATTAAAATATAAAACAAATAAAGATAATAAAGAAAACGAAACGAAGAAACATTTTACCTAATAAATTTATTATTTTAAACATCAAGATAGTCGGAGAGTTCAAAAAAATTAGCAAAATACATGATTAAATAGACCTTGAATGAAAAAGAAAATGATACCATTAGTTTAAAAGTTTAGAAAATTTTGCAAAGATATGGAGGAAAAAAGGAGAAGAAATTAATTTCGATTAAAAAAATGTTTCCATATAAATGAAAACTTAACGGAAGATGAACGCAATCAACCCACCTTCCGTGTATTCTTAGCTCAAGCACACCTGTTTAAGGAATGCGCTCGAAATCAATAAAATCGACATCGTCACAATACGTTTTTTTTCGCGTCAACTGATTTTGCACGATAACTTTATGTTTATTTTAAACGGCTGGTTTTTAATAAGCCTAAGCTGTTATTTTATTTCAAGCATTTTTTTATTTGGAAAATTATTCTGAAAATTTTATATGTTGGTGAAATTTGATCTTAAGATGAGTTGTAGTTTTAAAAATCTATTAAGAGGGTATATAATAATCAATGAAAGGAATAAAAACCGATGAACGACGTAGTCTAAGTGTTTTTTGGTTAAATAACAGAAAATAAATAGCAATATAATATCTCTGGACTTATTAATTTGTCTTACATTGCGCGAGGTAAATGTAATTGTTCTTAATATAATCAGTGGCATTTATAATTAACGTAGCAATAAAACAGGTTTCTTACTTAAAGATTTTCCCATTTGGAATAATGTTTATTTATATCATTTGGCAGGTTTTATATTAGTTATCATTAACCCATTAGTTGAATTCGGGCTTCATGGTGGTGTTGAAAATCAAAGGCAAAATAGTCGAGAAGGTGGGGAAAACAGAAGAGTTATTCACAGTTGTAAAGGAGACAGACAAAATTTCGTTTGAAAAAGTAAGGCAAATTCTGTGGAAGTGGTGCAATATGACATACAGAGGGGTCATTTTAGTTTGAAGGCTTTTGCCGATTTAGACCTTTTGCCATATGAGCATGCTTTGCCTAGGGAGCACTACGAGAAGGTAAATATAGCGCACACTCCCATTTGGACCATTAAGACCTATGAAACGGAGGTCACTTGAAAGGGCCTATTGATGTTTGGGAGAAAAGAATAATTGGATTCAATTTGGGACAAATTTTGATGCTTTCAACAACGCAGTTCTCTAGTCATTAAAATATTTTCGCAAAGAGTTACTGAAAATAAAATGCAATCACATAAAATGTTAATTAGTTAAGTTCATCAAACACAAAATATTATTTTTAATGGCAAAATATAAACATAACTATAGTGCATGGTTTCCCAATTGGGAAATAAGTATCAACGTTGGTAATATTCCAGTACAAGTAAGCATGAAAGAAACTTCAGTATATTAATTTCATTAAATTGGTTTTACATACTGTGCTTAAATGATTATTAATAATTGTTATATAAAATTGACTATATCGAATATGTGATTTGTTTGTGTGGTCTGCAATTAAGGTCATCTATTGTAATATATTCCGGCGAATTCATGAAAGCAAATTCTCTGATGAAGTATGGGTGCAAATACGTCGAAAGACGAGTAAGTGCTACAATTATAATGTACCATTTTTACGTGTTGTATGAACTAAAATTACTCAATGCAAAATATAGTTGACAAAATTTTGTTAGGTTATTTTTGCTTGTATTTTTTCAAATTTTACTCTTATTTGTCTGATTTCTTTTAAATAAATGTCCATCTTTTAGAGGAAATTAAACCTTACTTCCTTCCATGAGATACTCTGATATATGCAAATCTAAAACAAATATCCTGAAATATCTTTTAACTTATTAATTTTAATCTAGAATTTTTCTAAACGAAATTGGCTGTGATACAATTGGTACAGTGCCATGTAATGCGTCTACGTCCCTCTTCTGTCTAGAGGGCGAATGTGCTCTCTACGTTGCTGATTTTGAAAAGAAGTGTGTGGAGGGATGCAAGTAATTGTCTCAACCACATCAATTCTATTTTTTACTCTTATATTCAGTTATTTAAATTGTCGAGAAACTTGCCATTTCTCTTCTTAGATGCAATCCAGGGTATCTTGGAAAATACTGTCAATTTCGAGTAGGTATGGTTATTGACAAATTCTCTCACTTTAAAATGAAATAATTCATTTCAGTTAATTTTATTTATTTATTTGACATTTTAGACTCACTCTTATCAGCAGTGGGAATTGTGGGGACTGTAATTGGAATATTTCTGCTAATTCTACTCGTGATTGTGATCTTATGCTGCTGGTGAGTGTGAGAAAATTTTCTGCTCATTTATTGCACGCAGCTCCTTGGCAGTAGCTAATTGTCACCATTATTTTATTGTCAAGGCTTTTATTTTGGAAGGTTCTCATGAATATATTTTTAATCGATTTGATTTATAAATTTAGTTTTTTCTCCATCGAATTGTTGTACAAACTTCTTCGAAACATTGTTTAAAGCTGAGAATTTAAATAATGTATTATTTTTTATTCCCTTTTCAAATATTAAGCGAAATATTTTGCCGTGCAATAAATGAGGACACACATTAAACCCTATCACAAGATGTATCTCATATCTTTTTAATTTCTCTATCACAGTAGAATCTTAATTATTTCAGGGCGAGACAGTCAATTTCTTTATTAAAATCCGAATAGTATATTTAGTAATTGTTCTCGTAGAAACCTCTTCTACATGTTTTAAATTGAGAATCAATTGTTTTTTTACAAAGCTTTACACTTTACTTCGATATCATGACACCGCTTCATAAGATTTAAATATTAATAATTATGATTTAATTTAGTTTTCTTTTGAATTTTCAACTAATGTATAATTAATCAATCCAATTGAAATTAAAATAAACGATTAACAACTTAAGACTCGGGGTATTAAAGTTGACAACAGCACGGTCACCCCCCACCCCCGCCCCATTGTCCTCTTTGTAAAAGAACCACTTTTTTGTCAATTTTTTTTGCATATTCGCTCTAAAATATCATGACATTTTCATATTTTAAGTAATCACTGTCCATATTTGGAGCTGACCAATTTTAAATCGTAATAATTTCAAAAGAATACAAGTTATAATGTTTTTTTTCCACAAGAAATTATTCACCTTTTTTGGTTTCAAAGATATTGAATTTTTGCCTGTTTTATTTCACTCCCCAATTCACAAAATCCCCTGTAATGCCATTAGTTTAGAATAATATGAGGGAGCTGTTTCCTTTTTCCATTTATCGTCGGTAAGGGTGGAAATTTAACATATCTTTTTGTTATTGAATTAAAAATTTTATAAAGTTCTTTGACTAGCTGGACCAAAGTGAAACTAACACACAGCAGCTTGTTATCTAATTTCATGATTGTTTCTTTCTGATGAATACAAGGAACTCAATCTTTCTAAATTAAAGAGGCAGTTTTGGAGCTAATGCAATTTAGTACTGTTTATTCGGTAATCAGCAGGAGGGGAGGGCGGGGTGCTGGAAACATCTCCATCCAATTCAAAAACATGATATTTTTTCCAATAGTACGCGCAAGTTTTTATCATTGACCTAATTTCACCCAACCTCACCCCCCAACACGATGTTCAAACCACCAACTGGTTGATTTCGATGTCATTTCTTTTGCTTACTTTGTAGCCAATCGGCTCGAAAGAGGTAAATTGTTATTCGCTCGTACTTATTTAACTTGCGATGCTTATTGAATTAATTATCATTTTTATTACCTAACTCTCTTGATATGGTCTTTCCACCTAAGTAAATGTGGAAATGTCATTCGTATTTCTGTCGAGGTTTTCCACCCTCTACTAATGCTTTTCCTCTCAACATCAAATAATGAAAATTTTAATGCATTTTCACATTGTCGGAAATCTTGCTTAGCTCCTACCTTATTAAGAAGCTTCTTGAATGCAGAATCGATTGTTCATGGTTCAAATATTCCCCACCTGGCTAATAATTGATATATTGCTGGCTAATCCACTCTGCGCTGGTCATTTTTATCTCTTTTCTTTAATAAATTTGGGTGCTTTTATTTGCAGGCGAAGGCTGAACCGGGAATGGGAGCAACGGCACAATCACCCCTCAGAAGGTGGAAGCAGTCGGACGACTGAGAATCGAAGGGATATACTGGTGGTGGTATGAAGACGAATTTCTTTATTTCTCAAATAAAAGTGCTCTTTATTTTTAAGAAAAACAGTGATCTCCATTCGTACTATTACTATGGTAATAGTTAAAAAATGTGTATATAATTTTGGTTCAAATGAATTACTTTATACAACAGTCAGAAAGATTGGAAAGGAGATTGTATTTTATGCGATGAAATTAGGCGCTTTAAAGAAGCTCCCCTGTGTATAATAACTTTTTTACTCTGCTTTCACTTCGAATTTTAGAATTCGACTGATCGACCAAGAAGCGGTTACTATGAGCACGAATTTTTCCAAAATCCCAGAAACAATGGCAGCCAGTCGCTTTACCCAAATCTAGACGTCTCTGCTGGTTTACTCGAATCACTTCACACTACGAACCGGTGATCCATGCTACTCCCTCCCTCCCCCTCCCCCCCCTTTTTTAGTATTTCTTGCTTTGTTTTCGCTCCTAACCCCCCCCCCCTCCCTCCCTCTCTGTGTGTATACAATCAAAATTGCTCTTATCGATCATTCAATGAATGTATTTGCATCAGATTCAAGCCCCCGTATCCCTCTTAGGCGTCTTCCAACTTCTGTTCCTTTCTCCCCTCCACCCACCCCCAAATAATTGCCCTTGTGCCTGGACAATGCAGAATTCTCTACGAATAGGCCGATGGGGCCTATGCGAATTCCACTTGGTAAACAGTCTGCAGGCGTAAAAAGGCGAAAAGTATTTCCTCTTCCTGTCTGCCAATCAACTGCCCTGACTCACACTTGTCGTGA